TCCCAGTAATTTCTCACACAAATTGAAACCTTCTCTTTGTGCTAAAGCTCATCTTTTAGAGGCAGATGGCTTCAATTAAAAGTTTTGAATAAAACCCTATTGTTTAAGCCAGGGTAAAACCCATGCACTCTTTTTTCCCCCATGAACTTACAGAGCCATGGTATCCAACCAGCAGAATTTACCAAGTCTTTGCTACTCAGTTTACTGCCATCAGTAGTTTCTTACACTTGCAGGTACTTCTGACATGTGAACTTCTGACTCCTTCCCTTGTTCCTTGTGAAAGCAAACAGCTTCACACACTTCAATGGCCTCTAAGTATATGGTAAATTGTCTAGGTATTACATTGATCTCAAAACACCATGGCAAGCAAATTTCATCCTCTGCAGCACAAACCTGTGGTGTGAATTTTGCCAGATTAAAACAAGCAGAATCATGGAATAGTTTAAGTTGGACCTTTTAAAGGTCACCAAGTCCAACCCCCTGCAGGGACATCACCCACTCTACCAGGTTGCTCAGAGCTCTGTCCAACCTGACACTGAATGTTCCCAAGGACTGAGGCATCCACCACCTCTCTGCGCAACCTGTCCCAGTGTTTCACCACTGTCACTGTAAAAAACCCTTCTTCTCTGATACCTAGTCTAAACCAACTTTCCTCAGCTTAAACCTATTGCCCCTTACCATGTTGTAACAGGCCCTGCTAAAAAATCCCAGAGTGACAATGGCATGGATTACTTAACATGTGTTTATTACCGGAACAGCACACGGCAATAATTCCTTCCCACCCCAAGTCAGTGACTCATGAACCACTTCAGCTTTACTGTCAAGCGGGAAGGACATTCACCCCTCGACTTCCCCTTGAAGCTGCTCCCTGTGACAGGAGCTGACACACCCTTCCAGCACACACAGCAGCTCTCTGCAACCACCATGAATTAACACATTACTTCTTTACATGCCACTTTGCCACTCATTAGCAACCAAACTTCTGAAGGTCATCATGTATTTTTGCATTTGGAGATGAGTTTTTGCACATGTAGAACCAATTGGTGGCTTCCAAAAACAAACGGTGAGAACGCTCATATTTTCCTGGATATCTTCTATTGAAACACATCAGCCAGCTGAAGTCAAGACATTAAACAAAGCTATGTTTACAGAAAGGTTCTGAGGGAAATATCCCAAATTTGATGACAGTCTATTAATTCAGATTATTATTTATGATGCCTTCTGTAGGACAAGAGGGCACAGACTCAAGCTCTGCCAGGGGAGGGTTAGGTTGGATATCAGGAAGAGATTTTTAACAGAGAGAGTGATCAGGCATTGGAATGTGCTACCCAGGGAGGTGGTGGATTCACTGTCCTTGGAGGTTTTCAAGCTGAGACTGGATGTGGCCATGGTCTAGTGACTACGGTAGGGTTGGACTTGATGATCTTTGAGGTCTTCCCCAACCTGATTGATTCTTTGATTCTGTGTTAGTGCTGTGCTTGTCTCCAGTGCGTTGTATTTCAATGAACAGGGTTGATGGAGAGACCAGAACTCTTCTCTTGACCCTGTAGTAGCACTTGAGCTTCTGGAAGAACTTCTGGGAACAGGAGTGTCTCTACAGCTCTTACATGTATCTATCAAATACCATTTGGTTACATTTATCAAGCAAAGGGCCAAACACCTTCACAAGCTGCTCACTTACAGCTAGCACACATATTTACCAGAAGAGCTTCGCCAGACACCAATGACAGGAAAAAGCACTGCATCCTGCACAGCATTCCAGGCTTCATCTCTCCCCTGGATCAATCAGCTCTGAATGACTCCATGGTTACTGGAAATCCCTGCTAAGTAACAGGCAGAATTCCCAACACATACTTTCTTCAAGGTAAATATCCCTCCACTATTCCCCATGGTGCTTTCACTACTCTTTGCTTTCAAGAAGCTGGAATGAACACAAAGTTGCTTCCATTTCCTGTTCCACTCTTTGCAACAGTTTTTAGCTCTTCCTTATTCCTAAAGTGTCTTTCTCCTTGGCACATAAAAATCTTTCCCCTTTCTCATTCAGATCACCCTTTTATGGGAGAGGAGTTACACACTGACTTATGTCAGTGGAAAGTCTTCCCCATCACATTGCTGTCTGTCCAATAATAAAAAATACCATGACGGTACAATAACTGCCATTAAAAAGTGTCACAAATAGTGGACTCCTGGTGCATTTCATGTTTTCAGCCTGTTGTGTGGAACAAAACACATTGTTAGCACCAGATGAGAACACTGATAAATATGACTTGAAATTAAGAAGAAAACATTTATTTCAAACATGGCATTACTTCTCCACCTAAGCTTAAAGGTGTACAGAAGGGAAAACATGAGTAACAATTTCCAGCTGCTTATCATGAACAGAACCTGGACATCACCTTGGTTTCAGATAACAGGTCTGAAAAAAAATGCATTAAGTATTTAGCACATTGAGATGAATCACAATAGCTACAATAAGACAACAGATGTAGAACTGTCAGATAAAACCAGAGCTCATCTGCCACAGACAAAATGGAAATATTTAAAGGTAACCAGACACGGCTGGAAACGAACCACAGTGTGAGCAAAATGTCAGTATAACAACCGGTAAGGACAAGCAGTCACTGTTCAATTAGCCTAAAGCTTCTGGTGACACAATGTTACTAATTTTTTTCCTGAAACAGCTCGGAAAAAGCGGGTAAAGGTTTAGAGTGTAATGAGACACTGGCTGCGTCTGGGCACAGTGACACATTTCTGGCACACTCTCACCTCAAGAGGCTGTTGCAAGACTGAGTTGTTTCCTCTAATAGAACAGTTCGTCTCTCTTGGCGTCACATTGAGCAAGGAGGGGGTGAAAGGTCTGCCAGGGCAGTCTACAATCAAATACTATCCTGCTATTCCTGTGCTTTGGCAATGAGGGGAAGCAGGGGAACCACAGGTAAGTGGAGGAGATAACTCCCCAATTGCTAAAGGAAGGACTTCTACAGGTACAGAGAAACACTTTGGCAATGAATGCAAACAGTTAAAGTGAAACAAAAAGTGCAGAGGAACCACAGAACACCATCATTAGGTACCTGGGATGGTTACAGGGGTACGAAGATCACTGATCAAACCCCAACCAAGCTCTTCTAGAAGCAGGCACAGAAGACAGATGCAAAGGATCATCCTTTCCATCCCAGTTGTCCTAAGTCTCCATAGGGTGTACAAAATCAAAACTAATGTAGCAAACAGCAAAGTAACCATTGAAGACTCCTTCCTGTGTGGTTACAAGTAAAAGTACTAAGAATAAAGAGTCGAACAGTGATGTGCAGAACAAACCAGCTGAGCAGACTGACTCAAGAGTAACTCTCATTCCCAAACCTTCAGCGTCAACTTTGCAGCTGGAAACCACCTCAAGACAAAGCCTCTAGGTGCTACTGAAACAATACTACAAGTAATGAATAAAGGACTACACGAGACCTTCCCAGTAAGAGCAGAACTCCTCTAAATCAATATTTTTATGGTTTACTCCAGCTGCTAACACAGACTGAACTCATGGCTGTGTGGCTACACTTCGTATTCCACTCACTGCACAGAAGACTCTTCACCCAGGCTGAGCATGCAACACATGCACCATGAAAGAACTAAAACCCATCTGAACCACTGTGGTAAAGAAATTCAGCACCAGCAGTGAGGCTCTTGGAACAGCAGATTTCCCACAAGTGCACTGCTTTACTTCTTGTATTTCTAAGGCAAACATTAATTCAACAGACTAGGAAAATTCAACCCTGCCAGACTAACTTTAACATCTCTGATATTTAAAAGGTCACACTGCAAACTCCAGTGTGCTTTTTATTCCATACTACTTGACTGATCCATTACTTGGGTAAGGATTTTATCTCAAAATCACAGAATCACAGAATATCCAGAGCTGGAAGGGAGCCATGAGGGTCATCAAAGTCCAGCTTCTGGACTCCAGGACAGCCTCAAGGATCCCACCATGTGCCTGAGAGAATATAGATGGGCATAAAGCAAGGATACTACACACTTCCCGAAGAGAAGTTCACCTGTCTCCTCTGAGTCTTCATTTGGCTGATGGGATCACACTTTAACTCCTATTTCCTGGTACAAACATGTTCCTCTGACAATGATTTAAGCATCAGCTGCTCTGAAGTCTCTCCTCATCAGCAGGATAAACCACCAACAAAGCCATGTGCAAGCAACCACAACAGACTGTCCTTCTGAACTACCTGCTCAATTCTCCTTACCCACAGTGGGTGGATATTTACTACAGCTCTGGCTTCTGGACAGCCCTGAGAGAAGAACTCCTGTCAGCTTCGATCCTGTCCTGATTGACAAGAACAGAACAGGCAGAAGGAACAGCTCAGCACTGCTGTCAATGTCTAATATACTACTGTGTGTCCCTACTGGTGCCTTTGAATTGCTCCTGTCTCA